AATTTATACAATGTAATTTTCTGGATTTTTTTATATTCTATCTCTCACTATTAAAATTAACCTATCCTTAAAATTATAGATTGCTCATGTCTTTGTAAGTGGGCAAACTTTGAAAGTCAGCAAGGGATCAAATATTTATTTCCCCCACTGTAGCATTAGGATGTAAGATAYGGACAAAGCATGCATGAAACGCCATAGCCAAATGGCTTGAATAACTGCTGTCAGTTTTAGTTTTTATTGTTATTTCTCGTGATTTTTTTTTTTCAAAAATGGGTGTCCACCTAACTCCGTCCTCACTGAGAGATTATGTTTATAGTGGTAAGTTCTAATGTATGGGTGAGCTGAAATTATTGTTTTCCAGGTGAGAGATCCCAAAACTCTTCTTGCTTTGCCTGGTGTTCTGGTTGGAGACATGGGCAAGAAGTTAGGCCAGAATGGCTTGGATAATGGGTAGGTGGCCTCTTTGGCCCTGGCTTTTATWAGCCTATTTTCTGTTTTTCAGTTATCTTTTTTTTTTCTTTTGCCCTTCCTTTAAAGAAAAAGGTCATATTTAGTATTTTTTGTCCTTTGTCAACAGGTTTGTCATGTTTCACAATGTAAGAATCCCACAAGAGAACCTTCTGAACAGAACAGGAGATGTTACTCCTGACGGGCTCTATGTGACACCATTCAAGGTCAGTACAAATTTCCTCTAACTCTCAGAGCCACATATTCACCTAAAATTACACCTATATACTGATCTCAGTTCCACTTCAGTTCAATGTTAAGTTCAGTTTAAGCTTCAGCTTGTAAATTACTCARCCAGCACCTCCTGGCACCTTTCTATCAATTGCCCAGATTTTCACTTCAGTTCCTCAGACCTCTACATAAAAAGGGTCATTTCACGCCCCCACCACCCACACATACGCTAGGGGTCGACCGATACATCGTCTGGCCGATATTTGTGATTTTTCCTTGTATCGGTATTGGCCAATACGTTCGTCCTTTCGGCCGATCCATTCTTTGGGTCACGCGAGCGCATGTTTACGTTCATAAGAGCGAATAAAGAGCTGCCGTCCACCATCTGAACCAGACAGACGCTGCTCAGATCACGTTTGTTCTGACTGCAGTATAAAAGTTGTGATGCAGGTTTTCTTCAGTGTACATTTCAAACTGTGCTCTAAAGTTAGCGTCAGCTGGTTTAAATGCACTTTTTGCAGTGGAAAAAACGTGCACAGACTGAGGCAGACTGTGAGCACTGTGTGTGTGTGTGTGTGTGTGTGTGTGTGTGTGTGTGTGTGTGTGTGT